TTTTGTTCCTTTCCTTTTAGACCACGGTGGTTTATTTTAATCGATCTAAGATGTTTTATTGTCCGCTTGATATATTCTGCCTCTTTTCGCTACTCTTGTTTTTGTCTTTTTGTCAGATATTCGGAATCCTCTAGTTTTATCCATGTAGGGCCAATAAATTTTTGCTCTCTAACACACACTTTTCTTTCCATAACTTTTTTACAAATAGTTTTAAAAAGCCATTTTTTAAAATCTTATAAAATCCTTGTTTTTTTATCATAGTTTTTGAAAGAAAAAAAGTGCCAATGTTAGATGTACGAAAAATCTAGATAGAATCCATTCCCGCCAAATTTTCAATTGATTATATCTCATAAACAAAGACACGAACCTATCATTTCTTTCTGCTTTTTAAGTTTCCTTATTAATATACTATCATTTATAACAGTCTTTTGAAAATCTTGTTATTTATGAAAACAAACACACATCCTCACATGCGACAAACCGCATCGAAAGAATATGAGCAGTGAGGACGGTTCAGAAGATACTAGGGGGACATTTCAAAACCACAAGTGTAATAAAGACAGAAAACAAAATTAGCAAACGAAAAATGACAATGACAATCACCAGTTTCCCTTAACTTGACATTTTGGTGGGAACTAGCTGGTTGTACAGAACTGCGCGGATGTAATGGCGGCATATTTTCCGATGTAAAGGAAGTTGGGATCGTGCAGCTGGCAACTATACATGAAAGGATTCGCATTTTGACGAACCATCATGAATTTGAGTTTAACAGTAGCACCGCGTTGATGTTATGGCAACGTAAATTTCTTAGTTGGTTTAGCCAAATATGTTATGTTCTTAACATATTTATGTGCTTAAAAGACAGGCGAAAGATACCAAAGGGACATTCAAACACACAAGTCCAAATCAAACTGACAACGCCCTGGTAAAAACGAAAAAAGACTAAAAGATAAACAACAGTATGCAAAACACAACAAATAAAACTAAAACTAAAGACTGAGCAACACGAACCCCACCAAAAAAATGTCTTTCATCAAACAATAATATCTTAATTACCGCTGCTAAAACACTTCACCGTGTCATTCATTCATATTTATTATACAACTTATATTTATTTAGCAATACATAAAATTGTCTGCAAGTCTTTTGGTCACCGCCCAGCATTCGATAAACTTAAAACCTGTCAAATAATTTGCACAACTGGTTTATTCTCTAGTTAAACAAGAGAATAAATAGATAACGAATTCCTACCGATATATTTGACCTGCTTTTGATGTTCATTTTATCCAGAATTTAATTATTTATGCTATTAAAAAATTGTCAATAATTCATTTGTCGTTATCTTGTATTGGTAAAGAAAATGCTTCATCTGAGTACATACTATATATATTTATGAGATATTATTTATGGAATGGGATAGAATTATATTGAATACTCTTAAAGTTAAGTAATAGTATCCGATCTAGTTTGTCAAAAAGTTTTATATTAAATATTTCGTCACAATAGGACACCAATCAACATTTTATTGGTTTGCATATATATCATCAATCAGTTTGATCATAGGCACTTGTCTTTGAAAAAAATACGTGTACAGAAACAATGTCCAGCAGTGATCTATAAACGGTGAATGAGGTGGTTAAATGTTACTTTGTATATTCAATAAAATTGAGAATGGAAACGGGGAATGTGTCAAAGAGACAACAACTTTAACTCGACCAAAGAGCAGAAAACAGCCCAAAGCCACCAATGGGTCTTCAATACAGCGAGAAAATTCCGCACTAGGAGGCGAGCTTTAGCTGGCCTATTAACAAAAATGTATACTGGTTCGGAGAAAATGGACGTCACACTTAACTCCGAAACATATAAATGAACCAAAATAAAAACAAAACAAGACTAACAAAGGCCAGAGGTTCCTGACTTGGGACAGGCGCAAAAATGCGGCGGGGTTAAACATGTTTTGTGAGATCTTAACCCTCCCCCTATACCTCTAGCCAATGTAGAATAAACAAACACACAGCAATACGCACAGTAAAACTCAATTTAAAAGTAGTCCGAGTCCGATGTTAGAATAGGTAATAGAAGAAACTAAGCAACATGACAATGATCAACATAAATTAACAAAGGACTACTAAGTACTAGTAGTTACTGACATGCCAGTCCTAGACCTCAATTAAAATGATTGAAAGATTATGTCTAAGTATCATACTATCATAGAATATACGAGAAGAACATAACCCGTATCATCCTAACAACTGGTTTTAGGATAGATGTGTTTATTTCCGATGCAAAGACCCTTTGAGTGAATCAATATTAAAGTATACCTTGTTCTCTTATTATCGAATAAATGAAAGAAATAATACATGAAACCGGTGAATGTGTAATGATACTTAAAGCAAGCATGTACATTTGATACAATGTCCAGCAGTGACCTGTAGTGACCCTGTCCAAGGTCAGTGTTGTCCAGAGTGTACAGACTGTACATAAACAATTATGATGGTTACTTTGTCATAAGCTGATCCAAAGGACTCATGTTCTACATTAAAGTATATAGGTAAATCTTTTTCAGAGACAAGGACCTGTGACTTTAATACATATTTAAATGTCGATGATGTCTTTCATATTTCTCATTGAAGCTTATCCTAAAATGAAATAGTTTTGCTGGAGTCTCAAATAAAAGATCATAAAAGGAGACCTAGGTATTTGCTACAATGTATGGAACTTGCGAAATGAAAATTAGTTAATTGGTACAGCATAATTACGCAAACCGATAAAAATGGTTGATTTGTGTTCTTTGCGAAACGAGAAAACGGTTGAATTGTCCTGCTAGAATTAATCTACTATGTTACATCGGTTTACAAACGGCAAGAATAAATCATGTCATCGTTTCGAATGCATCAATCAACTGTTTCTCGGTTCGAATTTTTCCGTGCATTAAATACATTGTTTAAGTTGTTGTTGAGGTTTTGACTATGTTATGAATCCGTACGCTTATCTCTATACTTTTTCATGAATATGTGGAGTGGTGGTGTTGTTGAGGTGTTGGCTATGATTAGAATCCGTATGCTTATCTCTATACTTTTTCATGAATATGTGGAGTGGTGGTGTTGTTGAGGTGTTGACTATGATTAGAATCCGTATGCTTATCTCTATACTTTTTTCTGAATATGTGGAGTGGTGGTGTTGTTGAGGTGTTGACTATGTTTAGAATCCGTATGCTTATCTCTATACTTTTTTCTGAATATGTGGAGTGGTGGTGTTGTTGAGGTGTTGACTATGTTTAGAATCCGTATGCTTATCTCTATACTTTTTCGGGAATATGTGGAGTGGTGGTGTTGTTGAGGTGTTGACCATGATTAGAATCCGTATGCTTATCTCTATACTTTTTTGGAGGATGTGGAGTGGGGATTTTTTTGAGTTGTTGACTGATTAGAGTCAGTATGTTAATCTGTAGACTTTTTTGGGAGGATAAGGGGTGGGGTATTGAGTTGTTGACTATGATAAGAGTACGCATGTTTATTTAGAGATTATTTTTGAAGGATGTGGAGTTATTGAGTTGTTTATAATGATTGCTTTTTGGGAGTATGTATAGTGGGGGAGTTGTTGAATTGTTGACTATGATTAGAATCAGTATGTTAATCTGTAGACTTTTTAGGAGGATGTGGGGTTGGAATGTATCTTAGATGTTGGCTATGATAATTTGCAGTATGTTTATCTGTAGTCTTTTTTGGGAGGATGTGGGATGGAAATGCTTCTGATATGTTGACCATGATTAGAGTCAGTATGATTAGCTGTAGATTAACATATACGCCATGTCTCTGTTTAAAGAAACTAATGCAAAACGACATCAGTCTGTTCATTGTTAAAGACGCTACGGTAATTGTTGTTTTAATACGTCCTCGTTCCCCGGTTGATAGTTGTTTTTGGCAATCGTACCACATCTCCTTATCTTTATAAAGATAATTTTTCTTCGAAGTTAGTTTTAAGAAATCGTCACGTGAAATAGGTTTGTGCAAAACCAAAAAAAAAAAAAAAAAACAAAACCAAAATAACAAAAGATACATATTTCTTGATATGCTCCGTTTGTGTGACTGGATGGCATACAAGATGACATTGAGATTCATTGTATAACCAAGTGTTAAATGATACAAACCAGATGAGTGGTACAGACTCCTCAGTGTTTTGTATAATATATTCATCAGTGTTTTGTAAAATATATTCATCAGTGCTTTGTATAATATATTCATCAGTGTTTTGTATAATATATTCATCAGTGTTTTGTATAATATATTCATCAGTGCTTTGTATCATATATTCATCAGTGTTTTGTATGATATATTCATCAGTGCTTTGTATCATATATTCATCAGCGATTTGTATGATATATTCATCAGTGTTTTGTATCATATATTCATCAGTGCTTTGTATCATATATTCATCAGCGATTTGTATCATATATTCATCAGTGCTTTGTATCATATATTCTTCAGTGCTTTGTATCATATATTCATCAGCGATTTGTATCATATATTGATCAGTGCTTTGTATCATATATTCATCAGTGCTTTGTATCATATATTCATCAGTGCTTTGTGTAATATATTCATCAGTGCTTTGTATCATATATTCATCAGTACTTTGTATCATATATTCATCAGTGCTTTGTATAATATATTCATCAGTGCTTTGTATCATATATTCATCAGTGCTTTGTGTAATATATTCATCAGTGCTTTGTATAATATATTCATCAGCGATTTGTATAATATATTCATCAGCGATTTGTATAATATATTCATCAGCGATTTGTATCATATATTCATCAGCGCTTTGTATCATATATTCATCAGTGCTTTGTATCATATATTCATCAGTGTTTTGTATAATATATTCATCAGTGCTTTGTGTAATATATTCATCAGCGATTTGTATGATATATTCATCAGTGCTTTGTATCATATATTCTATACTTCTTGTAATAAATATCATTAATATCATTTCAGGCAACAAATGGGGATATGACTTTGCTGATGGTAAGTTGACTATATATTACTTTTAATGAATAAAATAAAGCTCTCGACACTTTGCGTGGTATTCGGTATAGCATTGGTAACGTTACGCGACGTCGATTTCCGTTAGTTTTGATTGATTTCTTTCCGAAAATCAGAACTTTTTGCATTTTTACTGTATTTCGGAATTCGAAGTTCTAAACTTGCTGATAGTCTTCGAACTGACTTCCCAATAAAACTTACCATTTAACGTTAATTATGACTATGATCACATTATTTCCCTCTTTAGCAAATTTTATCGAAATCTACTGAACAGTTCGTTTTGTTTTTTTTTTGTTTTTTTTTATGTTGGTTCCTGTTACGTCTTACGTGGTAAAAAAGGCATTATACAGACGGAATTATCGTTGAATGATAAAATAAAACATATTGTTGACTATATTTTTACTTTTCATGAATCATTCAACAATCGTCATTTATCAAATTATTACACATTGTGTCTAACATGTCACACCGTCGTACTAACATGTGGTAAATACAACATGAGTTTATACATCTCAGACATGAAATTTCAAATTCTCGAGCTTATTGTTTTATATTTCTATGTCGGTAATAATTGTCAGTGCAATGATGTGCAAAATCAGGTCCTACAAACTGTCTACTGCACTTTAATGACTTACGGTTTAACAACCGTATTTGAACACCATTCTTACCTGGTCTAAATAAGAATGAAGAACTTACTGTTGTTTATTAAGTCCTCATATGGAGAGTACAAGAATGATTTCAAAATTGTGTTAATGTCAAGTAAAATGTTGATGTGACCATCTTAAATAAAAATGAGAAGATGTGGTTTGGTGCCAATGAGACAACTCTACACCAGAGACCAAATTACGTGATGCAAGCAACTATAGCCGATGAGTCTTGGAATTGTATATCCTAATTTCCATATTCGGTGGGTTAAACGATCCTTACCTTGTAGTATTGACATGAAACTAAACGATTTCGCTAGTTTGAAGCATTTTCGTCAATGCTTACAGTCATAATTTGAAAAGTAAATACATATAATATTTAAATAAACGATGAGATTTACAGCCAATATATTTATAAACTATTTGATCAGAGGGTACCTTAAAAGACTCATTATTAGACTCTTAGAAATGCAAAGAGTACAAATGTTCGATCGTTTCAAAATTATGTTAATTTATTAATTAATAAGGAAATATTATATGAGAACTTTACTTCATGTACAAATATTACATTACGGAAAGTTTTGGTCACCATGTGAATTTATGATAAATTTTGATTTTAGGACCTACATTTTGGCCCAAAAGTTATCCAAACTGCGGTGGACAGCAGCAATCGCCGATTAGTATAGGAGTGTCAGAAGTAGTAGTCAACAGCAGTTTACCACATTTTAACTTTGACCATATAAAGAATGTAACCAATCTTAAAATGACTCTAGAAAACAACGGCCATAGTGGTGAGTTTATTCTCTATCTTCTTTGGGGAGAGCGCCTTGACAGTAAAGACTGCAAGCATTTGCAGCAATTTTAAGGAGTATTAGTTTCTTCATTTGGGACCGTTAAATCCTTAATAATCGCCAATAACTCTTTAAATACATTATTTATATTCTTATGAATTGCAAAACAAATGATTCAATTGAGCTAGTAAAAGGTATATATAAACTACAAAGAGAATAAAGCTCAAACTTTTTTGATCATTTTGTTGCAGTTACATTGTGGCATATGAAGGAACAATTTCACACATGAGTTAATGCTCACTTTTTTCATTGGTCTTTGTTTCGCAATATGCACATCTCCAATTTTGAGAGAGAGAAAATATTGTTGGAAAATGTAGTCGTTTGATTTCGAATTTTGTAACCATTAAACACTTTAAAACAACAGACGGCAATCGGTAGCTTCTGAAAATGTACGCGGATTGCATAAACATTGCTCACACAAAAAACCCACACAAAGCATGATTGGAAACAATACAAGACGTATACACCTGAAACAGTCAAATCATGATAGGGAACAAAAATACTATATTGTATCATTTGTACGATTAAAAACCAATATAAATAAGAAGATGTGGTATGAGTGTCAATGAGAAAACTCTCCCTCCAAGTCACAATGTGAAAAGTAAACAATTATAGGTCAAAGTACGGCCTTCAATACGGAGCCTTGGCTCACACCGAACAGCAAGCTATAAAGGGCCCCAAAATGACAAGAGTAAAACGATTTAAACAGGAAAACCAACGGTATAATCTATATAAAAAACGAGAATTGAGAAATCACACTAACAATTCAAGACTAAATTTCTTCTTTAAAAAAAAGATCTGCGATGTTAATAACTTTACACTCCCTTTACTGATAAAAAGCTACATAATCATACAGAAATACATATTAAAGGAAAGGCTAATACCATTGATGTAGAATACGTTATTTTTCACTTTTTCACTAACTCTTCCAAACTATATTTCTTATTTTACAGCTACATATAGAGTTACATAATTTAATCTTAAAAAGTATGAAAAATTATTCAACACAAACACCGAGCTGATCGTTTTCATCGGTTTTAAACGACTTAATAACAACAGTATTATTATACTTTAATTTATTCAAATAACATTTTATATCATTATAATTCAGTTCAAATAGATTTAAAGGGAAATAATCTGCAGTTAAGTGGCGGTGGACTGCCTGGAACTTTTAATGCAGAACAATTCCACTTTCACTGGGGATCCGAAGATAAAAGAGGTTCCGAACATAACATAAATGGAAAACAATATCCTATGGAGGTAACTAGTAAGAAAGTAAAACACAGTCCCTGAACAACTGAACCTAGGAAAATAATGAATTGGCATATAGCAAAAATGAAAGAAAATGCAAAGAGGACATTACAAAACCATAAATCAAAGAAAAACACATAGAACAAAAAAATCAGTCTTCAAAACACGCCGAATACCCTGGCTGAACCCAGTTTGCACAATTTCTTTTGAAATAACTGAAAAGATTTTCATTTGTGATTATTTAGTGCAGACTATTCATAATAACTATTGGTTTGCAAACCTAAAAGGGCAGAAGATACGTTTGAGCAAAGAGAAGAAAGGTAGCAGACGAAAGTGACTTATAAAAACCAAGTTTTAAGAACTTGTAAATGGCTTATACAAAGTATTAAGATCATGCGAAACAGCATTTGAATAAATAATTAGTTTCCATAAGAAAAACAATTGAAACAGACGTTTCAATTTAATATTTGATTATTTAATTTAATTAAATCATTAATGTATTTTCACTTTATTTTATTTATTTATATTTTTATATATATATTTTTTGTTTTTGACTAACCTGGTTCATTGACATGTGAATGATATATTTTCAGATGCATGTTGTTCTGTATAATAGTAAACATGGTGGGTTTTCCAGTGCGTTGAACAAAACAGAAGGACTTGCAGTATTAGCATTTTTGTTCGAGGTCAGTAGTGTCAGATTAGAAAAAAATGCATATAAAGCACGTTTATTGACCAGTTCTAAATAGAACTTGAGAGCAAAATGTTCAGCATTTATCATAATATAATTTTATTTTACAATATAACCTAAATTACCAGCTCAAATAAAATTGCTCAGTAACTGCAACTGATTGTTTTCAAGTATAATTCTAATGGCATGATCTACCATTTGAAAGATTAAGCAGCAAACAGTTTAAACTTTCTAATAATCATTATATATTTTGAATATGGAACATATTTATATTGGACAGTAAATATATGTGTATGATTATTTGATTATTGTTTGCCTAACATTCAGTGGCAATTAAGGATGTAAATAAAGGTATCCTTCTAAATTTAAATGTTAGAAAATGTCCTGTTAAGAAACCCCACTTTTAATTCGATTAAATGCATTTTGTAGAAGTGGTTTTCCTACAGAAACCAACTTCATAATATTTTATGAACGTGTTCTATAAGTATAAGTGCATGTTACGTATATATGAATATGTTTTGTACAACTATTAATTTGCAACGTTTAAAAATTGGAATATCTCTGTTCTTAAATTTAACAAACATTATCTTCATGAATATTTTCTTGTTGTAATTTCACAATATACAGTCTTGTATTTCAGATTGGAGAAACTAACCATCATTTTGATGAAATCATCTCGCATCTAACCAAAATTTCACACAAAGGTATGATATACAAAAAGAAAAAACTCAACATAGACCAGGATTCAGTGAAGTAATAAAGTTAGGGACTAAGAGGACGTACCCATTGGATAAAATATTATGTTTTTGCATAAAATCGACAAAAAAAGTCGCCCAGTAACGATCGCCGCTATTTTTATCATTATGGACAAATAGGCCCCTTTCCTCACATCATAGATTCACCCCTTGGGATATTCATTCAAGAAATATGAACTGCTTTTTGAAGGTAGTACGGTGACGTAAAGTTGCTTACGTCTACTTCATTTGGTTTCTGGTGGGTAGTTGTCTAATTGGCAATCATACCGCATCTCTTTTTATATAGGAGTGTTGTACATTTTTGTTCATCATGAACAATTGTACTAATGTTACTAATAAACATACTATAGTCTGAATGATCTTGATACTTAAGTCTGCTAGAACATGATTTATTTATTAGTTGTAATTGGCATTGGGCTAGCTTTCAGTAACTACGAGTCCTGTTATATCGATGCTGTGTGTCTTTTGTTTTTATGTTAGTTGTATTTGTGTCTCGTATCGATCTTTTGGGTTAAGCCAATTGCAACTGATTTTTACAGTTTGTTCTTTTATTGTGCTGTTACGCCACTGTCCCATGTTAAACTAGAGGCTCTAAAGAGCCTGTGTCGCTCACCTATGTGCATATTCAACAAAGGACACTCTCCAACATTGTAGACGAGAATAGAATTCATGACAAAAATCTCTGTTTTGTTGATCTTGTATTGCTGATCATATAGTCTGTTTAGTTTCTTTCTATCTTTTTTTTAGTTTTTGCTCAAAACACAAAAGAGGGTAAACAGAATCTTCATTTAAGGGAAATCACTACAATAAAGAGTGACAGTCTACTAACTGTATCGGCAAAACTTGACTTGTTAGAAGATCTTGCCTTGCTGATCATTTTTGTGATGTAAAGTGTCTATTTATCTATAATAATTTTTATCATAAATGGCAAAACGCCAAAAAATGGTAAAAATCGTCATTAAAGGGCAATAACTCCAATAAGGAATCGACTTACGATTTCAACCATCAGACTTATTTGTAGAACTTGTCTTGCTGATCATTTTTGCAATATAAAGTTTCTCTCTATCTATCATAGGTTTCAAGATAATAGGCAAAAATAAAAAAAAAAGTAAAATTTTTCATGTAAGGTCAATAACTCCTATAAGAAGTCGTCTGACAGTTTTGATGTATATGGACAATTGGTAGAACTCAACATTCTGATCATTATTGCTCGTGTGAGATTTTCTCTACTTATAACAGTTTTCAAAATAAATAAACAAAACTTATATTTTACCCCTGTGTTCTATTTTTAGCTATGTCGGCCATCTTGGTTGGCAAGCGGGGTCATCGGACACATTTTAAAAACTAGATACCCCAATGATGATTGTGGCCAAGTTTGGTTAAATTTGGCCCGGTAGCTTCAGAGGAGAAGTTTTTTGTAAAAGTTAAAGGACGACGACGACGAAGGACGACGGACGCCAAGTGATGACAAGAGCTCATTTGGTCCTTTGGGCCAGGTGAGCTAAAAGGGGGTTAAGCGCTCACAAGTATGTTTAACCCGGAACATTCTTTACTTTCATGTCATAAGTCATGACCTTGTAGTTCAGTGGTTGTCGTTGGTTCATGTCTATAATATTTGTTAATCGTAAATCGTTTTGTTATAAACTAGTCCGTCAGTTTTCTTGTTTGAATTGTTTCACAGTTTTAATGTCGGGTATTTTACAGCCGACTTTACGGTATGGGTTTTTCTCATTGTTGAAGGCCGTACGGTGGCCTATAGTTGCTTACTACTACTTCATTTTAAATCTTGTGGATAGTTGTCTCATTGGCAATCATACTACATCTCCTTATTTTTTTTATATACTGTATATACAGTATATATACAGCATTAACATTTTATTTTTAAAAATAGAACACAGGGGTAAAATATAAGTCATGACCTTGTAGTTCAGTGGTTGTCGTTGGTTCATGTCTATAATATTTGTTAATCGTAAATCGTTTTGTTATAAACTAGTCCGTCAGTTTTCTTGTTTGAATTGTTTCACAGTTTTAATGTCGGGTCTTTTACAGCCGACTTTACGGTATGGGTTTTTCTCATTGTTGAAGGCCGTACGGTGGCCTATAGTTGCTTACTACTACTTCATTTTAAATCTTGTGGTTAGTTGTCTCATTGGCAATCATACTACATCTCCTTATTTTTTTTATATACTGTATATACAGTATATATACAGCATTAACATTTTATTGATTTACTGCCGTTACTAACAGAGCATTTCTCTATCCCCTTTGTGAGTTATTACGAAATGTTAGTGTATATCAAACAGGTTATGCATGACAAACGATGTATCCTGTCATAGCATTTGGGGAAACCTTGAATTGAAAGAAGAACAACGCTAAAACGACCAAAATCAAAAAGCAGAAAGTGTTTTGAGTTTAACATTGGTCATAAGTATATATCAGTGTTTCGTAGATCTTTCGTATGCATTTAACACACTGTGATTAATAAAGACACGTGTCTCAGACATACATAAGACCAATTTTAATACAACTTAACATAAGTTTTCATAACATTTTTTATTTTATTTTTAGATGACCATGCACTTCTCAATACTTTTGCTCTGGATTCTTTATTTCCACATGATGCTGGTGTGTATTATCGATATTATGGAAGCCTGACAACACCACCATGTTTTGAAAGTGTTATATGGACCATATTTAAAAACCATATTGTTATATCTGAAGAACAGGTATTCATATTGTAGATATATAGGCCTGTAAATACTAGTATTATATGGTTGTTTTCAAGTTACCAATTATAAGGAATTACCGACTATGGGGTCTCTAGACTATCCTATCATCAACTATGGGGTCTCTAGAACAACCTATCGATAACCTCGACATTAAAACCGGCTAAAATATTAAAGCCATAATTACAAAATTCAGAACATTAATGGAAAAAGAAATATGAAAAAGAATAGAAGAAAAATAAAATAAACAGCCTAAATACCAAGACACAAAAATAACCGAACAAAACTTTTGGCAAACAAGCAAACATCAACCCATACAAATTAACAATGATAATCAATCTCTAAGAATATATAGTACTACCACCCTTCTGTTGTTCTTTACGCGAATGGTTGTACAATGTATGTGTATCTCTGCTGCCCTAAGTTATTTTTTACGGATTGTATTAACGTTCATTCCATAGAAACAGTTCTACCTCTCATGATAGCGTTACTAGAGCATTAGAAAAAAATCCACCTTTTATTACATCTACTTATAGTGTAGTTTGTTGTGTGTTTTGCTTACGTGAAACGTTATTTATTTATATATATTTACACGATTGTCAAAGCGAGAGATTTTGACAATGCCACTAAACAAAGATATGACAGGAAAATACTAGACCGACACAATTGATAACAAACAAAGACAAATGTATAGAACAGATGTGCGAATAAAACAAATATCAATGATATCACATCCTTATACTTTGGACATTATGAATAATTGACAATCATACCACACATTTCCTTATTTTTATAGTGACAAATATAACTTAGGGAGCTGCCATTTGATTTTTATGGGGGGGGGGGGGGCTAGGATGAAAAATTTTGTCCTGCATTTTTTTTTTAGTTGTAATCTCTGTCCTGCCTTTTTATTTTTCACTCTATTCGGTCCTGCCTTTTTTTTTTTAGTTTATCCTGCCTTTTTTTTTTGCAAAGTGTCTCATCCTGCCTTTTTTTTTACTCAAAACTCCTGTCCTGCCTATTTTTTTCAAATTTCATCCTAGCCCCCCCCCCCCATAAAAATCAAATGGTAGCTCCCTTATGCAACACGGAAATCCTCTAAAGAATCAACAACAAAATACTGGTTTTATTTCAGATTGAGAAATTCAGACACCAGGTGCACAGGAACTATGCCAATGAAACAGATCGTGACATCTCAGGCGACTATCGACCAGTCCAAAGACTAAACAACAGAGTAGTGATGACAAATGCTGAGGAGGGACTATATTACAACAATTGTCAAATCATTCTCCCCTTTAACATTTATTTTATGGTGCTATTGTTTCTGTTTATAAGTAAGCTTTGATACCGGATTCCATTAGGCTATTCTAAATAAAGCGTAATTGAAGATATGTAGATAGACGTGTAGTATACATTTGTATCTGCAATGACGTATAACTTATGTTATGAAATACTTTGATCATTTCCTTTCTTCATACCTGCATCATATTACCGTTAAGTCAGCAGATGCAATAGGTAACACAGATCACAATTTTCTGTACACGATTGAAAAATCCAATGTATTGCAATGGCAATCGAGAACACAGACAAAAATCTGCTGTACACGATAGCAAAAACAGTTGTTTTTAATGAAAATCTTGAACACTGATCATAATGTATATGCCATAGTGGTAGCCGGTAATAGGGTGTGATACTTTGTGCACACTCTTCTACAGATATCAGGACGATATCACTTTCAATTATTCAAAATTATCCTATTGTATTTTTTCACTCCTCTAAGAATATAATACATAGCTTGTAGTAGTGCATGTCGAATATAACAGACATCCAATGATTTTTCATTGTATTCTTACCTTGAATAATCTTTCATTTCGCTACGCGAATTCAAGAATGTTACCTTAGCTTAGTTTTCAAGTCGTCAAAAATACAAAACGCATTTTTTTTTTTTTTGGAAATGTATAATGAAATTTTGGTCTTAAAGAATCGCCAAAACTTGTATCAAACTACATTGAACATCAGTTAATGTAAACGTCTATACTTACATTTACTTATAACTTTATTTTAAATCATTTACGATGTTATTGTTTGAAACCTTGTTGATAATTATTTTCATTAGATAAGTAATATATATAACAAGTCTAAATTGAAAACAATGTTCAAACCTATGATTGCGTTGGATAAAAACCGCAATTTTTATACGTGTGCATGCAAAACAAATTTCTTGTTAGAGGGGTCTAAATACAGCTCAAACAACATTTTCCAAAAGACCAAAAAATTGAAAGATTATATTTTAACAAAACGCATATATATATATATATATGCAATAGAGGGTTCGTAAGTTTGAAAATGTGAAAAAGTGCGTTGATTGAAGAAATCCATTGATCTTCTAATTTCTGTTATTTTAGAGGGTTAAATAAAGTTTTCAGTGGCATATCTTTTATGGCATAGTATTAAAGTTGAGATGTTTTATATCTCTTTTATTATTTAAGATATAGAGTTAAGTTTTCCAATAAAAATAATTATATTCAGAGAAATGCCTTGGAATCTGTGACCATTCTGAGATTGCGGTTGAAATTATAATACAACATGAAGTTAATCCTTTTTCATCCTGAACAAAATTGTGAATGAAATTATAATGACAGTAACTGTATGTCCTTCTATAATTTTGATTTTCCTTTATAATTTATTTTATAAATGCTGTTTTATTCATTTACAAATATTAAATATTTTTGCTTTGAGTGGTTCACGTTGGTGTGTTTTATTTAATCCTTGTAACAGTTTTAATTGATATGCAAAATGTTGTATCCAAGACATTGCCTTACATCTATGGCTATTGAAAAACACGTTGGTATTGAAATATTTTTTTAAACCTTCGAAAATCAACGGATTACTTATATATTTTAAAAAGTGGCTTACATTAAATGCTTCTGTTTTTGCATTGGAAATATTGGGAAGGAGGGGGACACGCTGTTAGATGTAAATACTTAGAAATAAGTATGGGTTGTGCAGAGCATCTATTTGTTTATGATCATAACTGAAACAATAGAACATACACGTACATACAACGAAAACAAACGTACGTATGATATTTTGTACACTTATTGACTGGTTATGAGAGTTTTAGTTTGTAGGTTTCTGTGAAAACCACTATTGCTCAAGGCGAAACCGTGGGCAACAGATATGCCAACTGTTGGTATCGAAGGAACAATATTAACCAGACATTAAGTGTTATTATATATAATATGATATATAATATTATTATATTATACCGAACAAGATAACATTCAAAGAAACCCTAAAACACCACAAAAAAAAAACTAGAACTGTCCATATAGCAAGACTAATACCAATCATACATGTATTTTAGTTGCTCCTGTGAAATCTAATATTGAAACAATGGCATTTTTGGATTTCAGCAAAGGGATCAAATGTCAAGGTCAGAGTTACCTGATTTTGTTGTTCGACACATCCCGATATCATGATGCTTCGATCTGCATACAGAGTTTTGTCAACCTAAGTATTACGGTACAAAAAAAGTTATACACCGTACACACAAATCAGACAATGTTTTATTATCACAGGGGTCAAAGTTAAAGTAAGAATGACATGACTGGTATTTGACACCTCAAAATCCAGGATGCAACTGCATACCAAGTTTGGTTAGTATTAGTTTAAGGGTACAAAGTGTAATACCAACTTCATCAAACCAACCAATTATTATATCCTCCAGTACACTGTCCATTCCATCTATTATACAGCCTTGATTACTTCAAAGCATACGGACTTCTGTACCGAATTTGTTGAATTTGGCTAAGATCCCCAAAGCAATCAATAACAGCAACAACAAGTGTCTATCGTTATTTTTATTGAACTGTAGATCATGCAGTAAAAAACAAAACTGTCTCACTCTGCGATTTCATACAGTCAATTAATGTGGATTTACTTGCATTATCAGAAACTAGGCTAGGTACTACAATTGAAAAAAGCATGACTTCTGAGCTCATTCCTGACGGATACGATATACATCAGGTATCACGAAAAGAGCAAAGAGGTGGCGGTCTAGGTATTGTCTACAAGAAAAATTTGGATGTAAAACTTGTTAAAAACGATTGTCATTCTACCCATTTCGAACTAATGAAGTGTAAAATTGCTATAAAAAATCAACACTTTCGATTATGTGTGATATATCGTCCACCTGCATCGATAGCGACGAACAAATTCTGAAATTCAATCTTCTTTGAGGAATGGTCACGGTTTCTTGATCGAACTGTAGTTGTTTCAGAACTCACTATAACAGGAGATCTAAACTTTCATCTAGACAATCCGAAGGATAACAATGCAAATAAATTTCTAGAAACGCTGGAGAAACTTGGACTCTCGCGACATGTCGCCTGTGAAACACATGTACATGGTCATACCCTGGATGTAGTCATAACGAGAGAAAACAGTTCTATTTTTAGTGATACCCTTTTAATTCAGGACCCACATCTCTGTGATATCAAAGGCAAAACCTTTGACGTTCATCTGGCAATTTCTACAAGACTTAAGATCTCTAAACCTCCAAAACAGTGACATTTCGGAAATATCGTGATAAAGTTGTCAAAGATCTCATCACTGACTTGAATTATTCTGCCGTCCTTTGTAATCCGGAGGGATCATCAGATGAACTTATTAAAGTATATAACTCTGAAGTTCAAACTATCATTGATAAAAATGCTCCATTGCAAACAAAAGACTCGATAATTACTGTTGTGCGGTACTTGTTATGCTCGATCTATCCGCTGCCATCGATACTATTGACCATCCCATCCTGATCAGTCGGTTAGAATACTCTTCCGGCATAACTGGCTCAGCACTATCGTGGATGAGATCCTATCTTGATAGTCGAACTAAACGTGTTGCAATTGGCTCCGTATTGTCAGATGTATTAACAATAAACATGGCGTTCCGCAAGGTTCGGTCTTGGGACCCCGCTTGTATTGTATTTTTGCAAAACCAAAGTGAAATAAGTCGGCGACACAACTTTAGCTATCATTAGTATGCTGATGACACTCAAGTCTACCTAGTTTTGAAACCACTCGATACCTATACAACATATCTACACGTCTAGTGACTTGTTTAGCTGAATTAGTAAATGGATGTGTTGAAACATGCTGAAACTGAACCAAGAAAAAACGGAACTGACATTATTTACACCAAAAACTCGTGTGTGAATGAATGTTCGAATTGTCATTTGTCATTTGATGGAACAATCGTTAATAATGCATCGGTGGTCAAAAACCTTGGTGTTTATTTTGATAGGACATTGAACATGGAAAAGCAAGTCAATGCCGTCACGAAGTCGTGCTACTTCCAAATTCGAAACATTGGTCGAATTCGACAATATATCACCGAGGCTGCCTGTAAAACGTTTATATGTTCGCTTGTCACATCATGTCTAGACTTCGGAAAAGCTCTGCTATATAAAGTGAATGCCAGTTTAGTAAATAAGTTACAGCGAGTACAGAATACGGCAGCTAGACTCGTTACACGTACCAAGAAACACCATCATATTACACCAGTGCTTGTGTCACTTCATTGGATCCCGGTGCAGTACGAATACAATATAAACTGCTATTATATACTTTCAAAATTCTACATGGCCTAGTTCCTGTATATCTTAATGAACCTCTTAGCGCTTATCAACCATCAAGATCTCTTTGATCGGAAAATGCGATGCGACTAATACAACCACGTCTACGCACCAAAATTATGGAGAAAGACGTTTCGACAAAGCTACTGCGAGGATCTGGACCAATTTTCCTAGCCATCTAAGACATGAACACTCCATCGAACCTTTTAAGAAAAATTTGAAAACACATTATTTTAGACTTCCCTTCAGTGATTGTATTTAATTTCTTAAACTGACAGTAACTCTTATCTTTGTTTTTTCCGTTTTAGTATATGTCTTCTAATTGTTGTTCTGTTTCTTTCTTTTTTATTGTATTGATGGTTTTAATGTTAAACACCTATTTTTACTGCTTTGATTGTTTTTATTATAAGCGTTTATAGTAATTTTAATTAGATAATGCGCTATATAAATATTGTAAATAATAATAATAACAACAGTTACGAGTCGGACACGAATTGGGCATGGACTTATTTTAATAGAGGTCGAATCAAATGTCAAAGTCAAGGTCAGGGTGACCTGACTTTGGTATATGACACTCCCCCAGTCCATTATGCATTTACATTACTAAGTTTGATTAACCTAAGTACAAACGTTATGCGGCAGACACGAAGTGAGACAGACAAAAAGACGGACGGACGGATTGACAAACAGACAGACAGACGGACACGGTGATACTTATATATACCTCCAAAATTTGTTTGCGGGAGATCATATAAGAGTATTCATATATACATTTTTGTACATGCACATGAAATATGAGAAGGAATTTTTTGTCCTTGTGTTATTGTTATTGTAAATATTTTATCTACAGTAAACAATTGTTGGGAACTTTGTGATAAAATTTCCATTTGTGTGATTGTCGGTAGCTAAAACATTAACGTACAACAAAGTTTCCACAGTTGAAGGAGAATTTTGCTAACCCATGCCGTACATTTTTTATGTTTTGGTTCTATAAAAATTATGTTTTTCCATTTAGAACTTTCTTCCTTTTTCTAATTTGCTCTTTGACTTTGAAAATGACATGTATACTTAGTCAGGAATCTGATTTTTAGTAGTTGTCGTTTGTTGATGTGGTTCATAAGTGTTTCTCGTTTCTCGTTTTTTTATATAGATTAGACCGTTGGTTTTCCCGTTTGAATGGTTTTACACTAGTAATTTTTGGGGCCCTATTTAACTTCAGAGAGATCATTTTCGTATTGATTACTTGTATTTTGTTTCACGTCCGGTAGCAAATACTGTATGCATGGTCTGGACCATAAAAAAATAACAGTGGTAGATTTACAAAATGTATTAACCGGAACCAATGGCGGAAATTTTAAATTTCCAATGAAAAAAGAAGATTTGTTGGTAAGGAGATGAATCTTTGCCTTAAGCTTGCAACATTCCACCTCTATGAGTTGATGAAACTCAAAGGACCTTTAACGCCCAGACAGCATAGCACTTTTTGTACACGAGATATGCCAGATTTCGAGTATTAATACATCCCACATAGTCTTATCGGATTTCCCTTTTTAGCATTGATACAAGTGCCTGCAGGAAGAGGTCCAGGTGAACATATTTGTATACCCCAGTCCAGCGCGGGACGTTTGCGCTTTTTCATAGGACATTTGCGCTTTTTTTAATGGACATTTGCGTTTCAATTTATAGGACATTTGCGCTTTTACAGTATTTGGTTCTTATGACTTCCCTCCTATTTTATCCGGTCTTAGGACCGGTAGATTTGACCTGGCATAGTTTGGACGTGTTTAAAAGTCATTTCATAGCACATTAATATAGTTATATATAGCTAAAAGTAAGCATTCTAAAGACACAAAGACTTGTATAGTCATCACAGGTCAGTTTTCACTTGATATCTGAAGATCAGGGAATGAACAAATTTAGCTCTTGTAATCTGTCCTAACTGGTATTTCACCAACATTGCAAGTATATATTCTAGTTTCTCTTTCTCAATTCTTGACTGAGGTCCCTGTTCAGCAAATGTCAATAATGTTTGGAGCGCAAATGTCCTATCGTGTTACAGGTAAAAAAGCGCAAACGTCCTGTCCCCCTCCTCCCCCTTCCGCCTCGGGTCGGGGGTGGAAAGGGGGGGGGCAATTTCTATATACAAGGTGATAGGACGTGCGGCTGGAATAGGTCACCTTTTCAAGTTTGAAAATATGTGAATAGGTCGGGAAAACTATCAGAAATATTTGATAAGGTCAATAAAGTTCCAAAAACTACTTCGTCTGTCATCTTTCTTGGTGTTTCCGGCTGTGTTTTTATCAACCAATTTTCTCTCTTTTGACACTTCTTACATTACACACCTTACACACCACGAAACCCAAACAATATGGGATAAGGTAACATTTTTACCTTCGCAATAATATGAAAAGGTATACATTTTTAAAATTAAATTATATGAAAAGGGTGGGGTAACAGAACCCCAGCGGCACCCCTATGAATTAAGTATTGAAGTGGCCCTCCGAGCCCCCCGCCGCCTAGTCAACCTTAAGAGATGCGTGTAAACACTGATCAGTCGCTTCATTCTGCGTAATTAACTTATGTATGATATATATCGACATTTTATCGTAACGGGAATTAATTTTCCCAGAGTTCACGGAATATGTGGATTAATATAAGAAATGCTTTTCAAGCTCGTATATATATAGGGCCTATCTATTCTACGAGAAGAAAATAATATAAATAAATGGTAGCAATAAATTTTACTCGTTATGTTCATGTTTTTAATACGATCAAAACAATATCTCACCTCAAGAAAGAATGTATCAACAAGGTATCGGACAGTAGTTTCCGTCTTATTCCAACTGAATATTCCAGCTATTAAAAAGTCTGGCGTCATAATTCCGTGCAGCACGGGCCGGCCGGGACATCATCAGAACGACGTTTTCATGTATTATTTTCTTAACATTCATTAAAGGATAAAAATAACTGCCTATGACTGCTTCATTCCAACTACATCGGCTTTATAGCTTGATGTCGCCAGTGCCCTAAGTGCCCGCTACTATTGTGACGTTAAAAATAGACACAATAAACAAGTTGGACTTAGTTGAGAGTGTAGAAATGTCCCTTTAGCAGCAAGACGGTTTTAAAACATTACTCCTGGTAAGTAATTTAATAATTTTGAATTACACTTTGATAATGACGACGACAGGCACATATATTTATATGATTATAACGTATATTACTGGCTAGCAAAGACGTTCTCATTACATTTGGACGTCATAAAAGAAAATGGCTGACACAACAATGCAAAGGTGATTGTTGTATGACGTCAATAGTTTAAGTGTCGCAGATTCCGAAAAAATGCCCGGAAAGGTCTGATAATAATTTTCTATAATATATTCCACAGTTCAGTGTTAACTTTATGATGAGATGAGAAATGTCCAAGCAACGCGAATAGTATGGCGTCGTTTTTGTCCTAGGAAAATAATGTAACACTAAGTAAATGCAGAAATGCAGTAAAGAGTTGAGTGCAAAAGTGAAAATAAAACTTTTGTGCACGGTGAAGCCGCGGAAATAATATAAATGCACAGAAACAGATGAAAATAAGGTCAATCGGCAAAAAAATTTCCTGCCACACCCCTCCCCCATAACCCCCCCCCCCCCCTTTTTTCGTCCTCCCCGGAATATTTAACAATCATTCCCTTAGTAGTGAAGTTTAGAAATGTAATTGGTGGCAATTCTGGAAAATTGTATGTTTCTGGTTCTGACTTTCGTGAAAAATAATATTTATGATCTTCATTGCAAAATATTACACCCATAAGGATCAAGCAATAACAAATAATATGCATACAAGAATACAACAAATACACAATTAAATTGATACACAAATGTAAGATAAAGTTTACCACAGTTACATAAGGGAACGACCACAAGACATGACCATGAACTTCAGGGGCGGATTCAGGCGGGAGCGTGGCGGGCGTGCCCCCCCCCCCCCCCCCACCCCCTAAAATTTGCAAAGCATGGGTTGTCAGACTCCTCAGCTTAATAAAGAATATTTCGATAATTTTACCTCAAAATTTTTTTAGCCTCGCTCCTCTCGGCGAAAATTTATGTTTGCGACCCTCCTAACCTAAAATCCTGGATCCACCCCTGTACTTGTCTGACATGGGTCTATCGCCCCCTCACATATAACACATACAAGTTCTAACAATAAAACATTGAACCCCGTTTGAACTAAATTCCTAAGGAAGGACATGTTATGACATTGTAGTTTTTTGTCTTACACATCGATGTCAACATGCATGTACACTAATGTTATGTTTTCCAAATGCAAAGCTGTTTGAAAAAACAATGAAGATTGCAGCTCTTACAAGGCCAGGATATTCCTGTCTAAAATCTTTCTGCCCCTACCCCCACTCTCTTCCGAAAATCCCCGTAAATATTGATAGTTATCCAACAAATTATGCGAATTTATCATGAAAAATGAATATTCATTTTAGGTACGATTGCAAAGATAGTAAAAAAATTGACAAATTAATTAACCATCTCCCATTGTTGGTTCTTTTAACGCACAAAGAGCGTGGAACGCTTTCTACACATAGAATCAAACTTAACTTCACCATTTCGACCGAACATGTCTGCGTATTTAGATATCCCACAAAGCCAAACGGACACCCCATTTGGCAAGGATTTTACTACCGATGTTATGTAGCCATTCTTCCAGAGGAAAACTGGCATGAGCTCATTTTTCCCCCGGGGAAGTTTTGGGTCATTGCCATATTCTTCCCCGCGGAAATTTGACAATACGTATACATATATCTACTTTTTCCCCATGGCCATATTTTCCCTCTGGCCTCACAGTATAGATTTCACTATATATATTTATAAATCAAAATTGCACGCCATATATGTATATATATTTTGCATGATTGATCTCTGAAATGCTAAAATAATCGACTTGGGATGCTTTGAACAAATTGAAGAAATGTTGGGTACAAATTATGTTTGCTTTGGCGACACGCATGATTGATTGTCACTTAAAAGGCCTGGGGTCAGGGAGTGGGTTTGGGACACCTATATTTTGTTACAGGGGTGCCGTTTGCATTCGAGAAAAAACCTCATAATGGCTCATTCATATATAATGAAATATAAAAAGAAGATGTGGTATGGTTGCCAATGAGACAACTCTCCACAATGACCAAATGACACAGAAATTAACAACTATAGGTCACCGTACGTCATGAGTCTGTCAAAAATCGAATCTATTCGTATGGCTGGCATGAAAACGTGTTCCTATTCATATTTACTATGGATGATAAAATGCAACTGTAAAAATTGGAGATTCACACTTTCACACTAATATTCACAAAGATATTTTGACCCATTAATATCTTGTTGAAAATATTGATACAACTGCAACTTATTGACATATGCTAACATGTCCACAAGTCTCTCTACATGTCCACCAGTCTGCTTACGTATCAACCAGCCATTCCACAAGTTTACCAGTATGTCTATGTGTCCACTTCTCTGTCTACATGTTCACCAGTCTGTCTACATGTTCAGTAGTCTCTCTGCATGCTCAACAATCTTTCTACGTGTTCACCAGTCATTCCACATTTCACCAGACTGTCTTTGTGTCCATTGGTCTGTTTATATGTCCACCAGTCTGTCTGCATGTTCATCAGTCTGTCTATGTGTTAACTAGTCTGTCTACATATTCACCAGTCTGTCCACATGTTCAATAGTCTCTCAAAATGTTCACCAGTTTGTCTGCGTGTCCACCAGTCATTCCGAATATGGGCGTTTTACTTATTAAAGACAACGGCAACACTTTTTGTCTGCTTTGTGGTAAAGACTGTCTGAAAATATCAGATCAAAGGGCTCAAAAACAGCAAAAACACTCTGTGCACATTTGAAAGTATATTCATATTTTCAATATTTCATACAATTTATCAATCTTTTTTGCTCCTTTTTCAATATTTTGTCATAGAGCTACATCTGAACATTGCAAAAAGTATTCAAATATTTAGATAACTTCAAATAGATTTGTCCATGAAAAAATGTCCATTTCGCAACGACAACAAACAATTGGCAAAATTGTAATCATTCTTTTATTCAAATTGTAGTCTTTTCTTTTACTTGCCACTAATACAACTTCATTTAGTAACATGGCGGTCATCTGTCGATGCTGGTGATATAGTTCGTCTGCATTGAATCAATTGGCAAGTCCTATTGATAGCGTACTTTTTCGTTTGTCCACTTTGCAACGTCTTTTTTTAAGAAATGTTGACCTCAAATCATAAAAAAAACGTAGAGGTTATGAAATAAAATGTATTATCTAAGACAATATGAATAATCATAAAAACATGTATCTGAGAAACCGTGTGTAGCAACAATGGCTGCTAAAACATGTAAATACATCCACTGCGCAACGGTTAATCTCGCAACATTTCATTCCGAAGTGGACACATAGCGTTTCATAGGAGACATATATCGTTACGCAGTGGACTTTTTTGAATATTTTAAAATATTGTTTTATTTTCTAGTAGCTAAAATTGCAAATCAGATAGTTGAACCGTATAAAATCATTTATTTTTGTCAGATTCTTGAAGAAAAAATACCTTTTAAATTCTAATTTTTAGCATGGTAGAGCCTTACAGAAATCGTTGCGAAGGGGACATGTCACATCTTGGTATACCATGTTCACTTTTACAGACTTGTAGTCAAACTTACCGTTCAGTTTAAGGTTGCATATTTATTATTGAGTTTATACTGATTAAAGTATTGACATGAACAATAAAATCACTTATTTCTCAAATTTTTTTTTTCATTTTCCATTGTCAAAAATGGACATTTTTTTTAAAAAGGCCCATATGTTCACCGGTATGTTTATGTGTCGACTAGTCTGTCTACATGTCAACCAGTCTGTTTACATGTTCACTAGTCTATCTTTGTGTCCACTAGTCTGTCTTCATGTTCACTAATCTGCCTACATGTTTACTAGTCTCTCCAACTGTTCACTAATCTGTTTTCATGTTCACTGGTCTGTCTACATGTCCAATAGTCTGTCTATGTGTCGACAAGTCTGTCTTTATTTTTACCAGTCATTCTATGTGTCCCCTTGCCTGTCTTCATGTTCACGATTCTGTGTATGTGTCAACTAGTCTGTCTACATTTTCACTAGTATGTCCACATGTTCACTAGTCTTCCTTCGTGTTCATTGGTCTGTCTACGTGTTCATCAGTTTGTCTATAAATCCACTATTCTGTCTACATGTTCATCAGTCTGTCTATAAGTCCACTTGTCTGTCTATATTTTCACTATTCTCTCTATGTTGCCAGTCTGTCTTTGTGTCTACTATTCTGTCTACATGTCCACCAGTATTTCAACATGCTCACTAGTCTGTCATTATGTCCACCAGTCTGTTCACCTGTCCATCAGTCTGTCTACGTGTCGACCAGTCATTCCACATGTCCACCAGTCTGTCCTTTTGTCAACTAGTCTTTCTTCATATTCACTAGTATGTCCACATGAACACTAGTCTCCCTTCGTGTTCAGCGGTCTGTCTACGAGTCCATCAGTCATTCCAAAGGTCCACCAGTCTGTCCATGGGTCCACTAGTTTGTCTACATCTTCATCAGTCTGTCTATGTGTCAATTTGTCTGTCTACATGTTCACTGATCTCTGCATGTTCTCCAGTGTGACTAAGTGTCTACTATTCTGTTTACATGTCCACAAGTCTTTCAACATGCTTACTAGTCTGTCATTATGTCCACCAGACTGTTTACGTGTCCATCAGTCTGTCTACGTTTCTACCAGTCAGCCAACACGGTCAGCGGCTGTCCATCTGTCTCCTACTCTGTCAACATGCACACAATTCTGTCCATATGTCCACAAGTCTGTCTTTGTGTCAACCAGTCTGTTTACATGTACATGTCCACCAGTCTGTGTATGCACCAACTAGTCTGTCCGTATTTCCACCATTCTAGAGTGGGTCTACATATTCCCCAGTTTGTCTACGTAGATGTTTATTAGCCTCTAAACATGTTCACCAGTATGTCTATGTGTCCACCAGTCATTCTGTCAACGTATATTTTTTCCGCGTAACAGAAGTTCCCCTGCAAACGTTGTTATAACCACTGCCATAATATATG